GTTTTTGTAACAATATGGAATTAATTATGTCAGTGCCTTCTGCTATGTTTTATCTACTAACCAACCTAGGCTATAGTCCTAGGTTTTCCTGGTACTTTCCCATCTAAATCTTAATTGGGTGATTCTGTTTAGCTTTGCTGCTGCCACCTAGCTGACCCTCCTCATAAATCCTACTTTCTCATAAAAAGTTTCTGACCCCTTCTGGTCATGTTTGTCACAATAATTTGCTCAGCTTCTGTATTCACCTGTAGCATAGCATTTTGGGAGAGAAACCAATTTTACTTACATTTATTGAGAATTTTACATACAATAAAAGTCACTCTAAAGCAGGGGTGGGCAAACTTTTTGGCTCGGGGGCCTCATTGACTTTTAAAATTTGACAGACGGGCCGCCACCTGGTGTCAAAATGCCTGTCATTACAAGTCAAAATCAAATGAATGCAATCATTCAATCATTCACATCAAACCTTAATTCTGTACCAATCTTCGGCGGGCCGGATTAAAAAGACCAACGGGCCGGATGTGGCCCGCGGGCCGTAGTTTGCCCACCCTTGCTCTAAAGGAAAGAAAGGTGAAAGGAAAAAGTTATTAAATATGACTTCCAACCTCCTCAATAGATTTACAGTTCTATAATCCTTCCTTCTTAGATATTATACAAACCCCTTTAACCCCTCACTTAGTCCACATCTTTTTTAATCCCAAAATCATTTTTTTTAGCAAAAAGTTCATACAAGGTTTCCTGTCTGTTGAGGTAGATAAATACTGAGTTATTGAAGTTCATTTGCCACTGCAATTATTTTTCTATTTAGGATATATACTATTTGATTATCAGGGACCATTGGAGTAAAAATATATGGTTAGCCTAAAATTTTAATGATCATTCTGGTCACATCAGACTGCACTGCCTTTCTTTCAAAGGATGACCCAATAGGTCACAGGATTGCCTGGTATTATATAAAGTTAAAGCACTAAATAACACACGTCGGAACAAAATCTTTTACTGTCGCCTTCTATCCTCTAGAGTCATGAGGTCTGTAATAGCATATTGACTATAAGTCTCCTTGAAATAGAATCTTGCTAGTTCAAACCTTGGCAGAAAAAAAAGATTATTCTTATTTCGTCTGCTTCCTGTCTTTTCCTGTGCTTTTTAAAAAAAATAAGTCTAACAGTTCATTGTTTTATCATTTTCCCAATCACTCATGAGAGACAGGTTTCATCTTCAGTTTTCAAAGTACAAAGCTAGGGTGAACCCTTCTACCACAGGTAACTGGAAAAAATAGTGAAATGGTATAGACTGGATTTAAAAATAGGTAAAAATAGGAATCTCAAGGAAAGAAAAATACTTATTTTTTTAAAAAATGACATTTTTGCTGGGTTTCAAACCATCAACTTTCTGTTTATAAAGAGTGATAGTTTTTACAGCACTTGTGATCATTCTAAAATGTACTAGTGTCATGGGCCATGATTCATATTCAGACTGACTTGATTTGACAACCTTCCAGCTGGGTCTCAACTGTCAGCCTCAGGAATCTTCAAGCCATGATTCATCTGAGGAAGCTGTGCAATCACAGACATCTCCTGATAGCTGGAAAAATCAGATGAAGAGAGAGAACCCCAAGTCCTAGGTCTCGATATAGGCAACAGGGAGCAGAGCAATGACAGTCAATGAGGCTCCTCGCTTGGCAAAGAGTGAGGGCTGATTAATTGCAGCCAGCTACCTGCATGTAGTTTTATGTAGTTGTGTTGCCTTCAGTCTTCCTTGGAACCAACTGTTCAGAATTCCAGCTTGTGACTTTTGTTCATTTATTTACTTGTTCTTGAACCCTTAACTTTGGACTGGCTGACAGTTTGATTCCTGGAAGGATTTTGTACCATTATATTGCTGCTTGAAATACAAATGGACTAATTCAAGCAAACTCTTTTTGCACAGACCTTGATTTATGATCTTGTCTACTGTTACCTACGTAACTCCTTAGCAACTAACTGTGTGTATCTGCAAAAGGAGACATAACAATTAGACATCATAGTAACCATTGACTCCATTGACAGGTGTTCCAGCCTTCTAAAGTGGTCTATGAACTGCCGTAGCAGGGTAGCCTTCAACAGATAAAAAACATGGTTTCAGAAATGGGCAGCCATTTTGATAATGGGGCACTAAGCATTGCAGGTAAAAGATGATGGGATGTTCCCAACATATAATTATATCTTCTTCCATTTCAGCTTAAGTATACAATGTCTTTAATGATGGAAGACACAAATAGAGAAATTTAGAAAATAATGTAGCTTGTGCATTTTTAAATAAAGCAGTATTTAAATAATATATTTATTCAAAACATATTTAAAATATGGATATACAAATATTTTTAATGATATACTCTCTTACTCCTTTACTTGTTTATTTTTTAACAAAGACAGAATTAAACTACTGGCTGGAAGAGAAAGGGGAATATCAGATCTAGAATTTCTGTATAAATTCATGTTCATTAATTGAAATTGAGATGGAAGAGAAATTAAGAATTAAATTGGTTGCGATAGATGCAAATGGCTGCGATAGGTGCAAATTATTTTTAAAGAGACATTTTTACCCAAAGCAGTAAACCATTTACACAATTTAAGCACATGCTTAATATATGTGTATATATGTGTGTGTGTGTGTGTGTGTGTGTATGTGTGTGTGTATATGGTATTCAGCTTTCTTTGGGTATTTTCCCACATCATTATAGTTGTGCTTTTAAAGTTGTAGCAACATTTCGGCAGAATCTCATCTGCCATCATCAGGCTTCTGTATAGTGTATATAGTGTATAGTGTATAGAACACTATACAGAAGCCTGATGATGGCAGATGAGATTCTGCCGAAATGTTGCTACAATTTTAAAAGCACAACTATAATGACGTGGGAAAACACTTGAACAAAGCTGAATACCATACATATAAATACCCGCGAAAACTTAAGAATATATATATGTGTGTGTGTGTGTGTGTGTACAAAATGATAATTCAAATATTTATATTTTACCATTGCCATCAGAGAGTGGAGTTAAGAGGTATAGGAATTAGAGAATTGGAATAGAAACAAAAATGGGGGGGGGGACATTCCTAAGTGTTCCCTCAACAATTTTGCAGCAAATACATTGAGACTTTACACACAGACGTTGGTCATCATTGGACACAACTATGATGAATTTGAAGCAAACTTCTCTGCTTGGTAAAGCTGAGGAAAGGAAAGGCAATGGATAAGTGGATGAATGGGATCAGAGAAATGACAGGATTGTCCTTAGTCCAATGTATAAGGTATTACTACAGACATAATGAGATAGTCAGCATTTACACGTGCAGTCACCAGGAGTTGAGCAACTAACTAATGTAACTAGAATCTTCCCAAATAGTATCAGGTTGCCTGGTTTGTAGATCTCTCTTCTCCCTTTTAAAAGACAGATAAAATTTAATTTCTTCAATTTAGTAGTCTGGCCCTTCATCAATTTTTCTAGGATTTCTCCATGATAAATGGACATAGGTTTGACCACACTGTTAGGAAGATCCTTCCATCCGCTAGAATGCTTTTCATTGGATAATTGAAATTTATTCAAGCTAAATTAATAGTTGCTGATTATCTTGCCATCAAGCTGCTAGCTTACTCTTCACTGATGCTACCTAAACGGAGCCAAAATAAAATCTGAACTATTCTACCTCTTCCTTGTTCTTTTTAAATTTTTTGTCATCTGCACTAAATAGATTTTCTTTTTATTTTGAACACATCTAAATGAGTTTCCTCTGATCTAGGCTGGATCCTTTGCTTACCTTGGCTGACTCAAATTGCACCTGGTTTGCCAGCTGTGTCCTTTCCTGGAAAAATAAGAACAGGCCACTTTTAAATATCCCAGTCACTTCTAGACTTCATCGCTGCAAATTATGCTATACTTTTGTTCATATTAAGCCATAGTGTGATCTTTGCTTTTTTTGGTTTAAGGCGGGGTGGGATTCAAATTTTTAACAACCGGTTCTGTGGGCGTGGCTTAGATGGTGGGCGTGGCTTGGTGGTCATGTTATTGGCTGGGTGTGGCCAACTCAATATCACTCACATCGAGGCATGCATCTCCTCGCCTGGCCTGTCATGACTGTGGGGATGCTGCAACAGTCATAAGTGTGAAAAATGGTCATAAGTCACTTTTTTCAGTGCCATTGTAACTTTGAATGGTTACTCCACACAAGCAAAGTACCAGCAAAGGAGGGGAAAAAAATTCCAGAGATGTTCCTGAGACAGGAAGTCTAGTCCTGCCAAGAATGTAATGGGTTAACGGAGAGACAGTTTCTGTAAGCAACACCAGAATGTTTCCTTCCTGCCTTCCTTACAGGATTGGGCCAGTAATTTCTTCTAATAACCAGTTCTCCGAACTGCTTAACAACCGGTTCTAGTGAATAGGTGCAAACTGATAGAATCCCACCCCTGGTTTGAGGAAACCAAATTAGTCAATTATGTTACTTTTAAAAAAAATGCTTAAGCAAACCATGACTTTGTATCTGTGTGTGGCTGCTTTTACAAACTGTTCTGAAATTACTGTAATGCAAATTAAAATAATGAGCTGCTTACTGCTATAACAGTGAATACATTTGTCAATATTACATTGACGTCTCTTTTGTTCCAATCAGTTCTCTGTGCTAGTCTTAATACAGGAAATTTGTGGGATTGTTTACAATTCTTTGCAATCAGTAAGGTATTATTCATGGTCTTGTTCTTATAAAGTTATAATTAGGTGGATGAGAACAAAGAATAGGCCTTTTATATAATTAAGGAAAACCTGATGATATTAGCAGAACTCTTTTAATTCTCCCATTCATCATATATAGGAGACATTGTGATTTTTGTGCAAGGAGTAAGTTTTGAAAGATAGCTATATTCTAAAAAGAGATGGGCAGAAGGGCAGGAAAGTTAAGAATCACCCTGAGCTAATATTTAACTATTATTTATTTATTCTGTAGAGCAATTCCAGCAAAACCACAAAGTCCCTATTTGGGGAAGTGTTTCCAAATAACGCAAAAGGTGCACAGCTTTCCAAGATGGATGAAGAAAAATTTGCAGATAATTTCCGGACGTATAAAGGTATCAATTTATCTTTCCATTCAGGATGTAGTGGCTTTCTAACTGAGATATACATTTAACCTAGAGGATCCTTTGCCTTCGTATCAACTTGGCTTCCCTAAGATCAGCTTTTTGAAGCCTCTTTTCCAGATGGCTCAAGAGGTGTGGTGAGTGGCAACCAGAGAGCGAAACTTTCAGTTGCCTTTTCAGCACTGGGTAAAAGATCTTTCCACTTCGACTTTTAAAGTTCTTTGATGCTCCATATTTCAGGTGATTTTCATGCTTGATATGATGTCTCATATTTTATGTTCAGTGTTCCTTCATTAATTTGTTTTTCCACATAATCCCATGTCTTTTTTTTTCCCTTTGAAGGCAACCAGGTTTCAAATAAATAAACAAGTTGCTTGAAATGAGACTTCCAAATTCTCACTTATCTAAACTTTTTATCTATTTGCCAGAAAATAACAAATAGGTGCTGTAGCTAGTAATAGCTGAAGAAAAATGAGGGGTGACACCGTGACAGCATTCAAGCAGTTGCACGAATGGTTTTTTTAATGACATGTTTAGACACAATTCCAAACTGCATCAAGAATTTGGACAGTGTGGGGATGGAAATACATTTTCAAATTTTGCTCCTCTCAACTCCCAATCCCACTCAGTATGATTTGGCACTCAGGTATCTTCAGGACTCCCTCCTCTAGTCTACACTGACCTGATCAATTAGCTCTAACAGGAAGAAACTGCTGTAAATACCACATCAGAGAAATTCAGGGGGATGAAACGGGGCCGCCGTGTTGCTTTTCTGTAGCATTGCTGACATTGTGTGTATCAACAACTCTTTCTCAACCTTGACAATCTTAAAATGTGTAGACATTGCTGGCTAGAGAATATTGGGAGCTGAAGTCCACACTTTGCAAAGTTGCTAAGGTTGGGGAATATTGGTATAGAGTAAATAAGGTTACCTTGACAAAGCTACACAGGAACGAACTATTACCTAGGCAAAAGAGACTAAAGGAATGGTTGAATCCTAAATCACAAGATAACATTCAGAGGCAGCTGAGGCAAACACTTCCCTAATTCATTAAAACTGTAAAAAGGAGGAAGGCGCTTAGCAGTCAGTCTCAATAAAAGACTTTTGCTTTTTAAAAGCCATTGGTCAAATTGCTAATTGTTTGAAAAGGTTTTTTGTAGATTAGTCATACCCCTCGAAAAAAATCTAGCTAAAAACGTATTACTATAGAACATGGGTCTTCAAACTTGACAGTTTTAAGACTTGTGGCCTTCAACTCCCAGAATTCCTCCTCCAGTCATGTTAGCTCAAAAATTCTGGGAGTTGAAGTCCACAAGACTTAAAGCTGGCAAGTTTGAAGACCCTGGCAATAGAATGAGGCCCATATCTCCTCCTATGCAAATTCCAGCAGGACAGTCAATAAGGCATTTATTTACTTACCATTAGGACAAATGGGACTGATTAGGTTGCAGCTTTATGCACATTTCCAAAACACTGCAAGATTCAGCAGAGCTGAATAGGGAGCTGGACTTTTGGACTGTGACTTTCATATTTTGCCATGGAAAGATGACCTGTTGACTTTCATTTCAGTTTATCTTTCAGGGTGGCTTAAATGTGTGTCAAGCTGACTCTTGTCAACCACCTGAACCAATTCCTGCAGTTTTCTTAGTGTGGTTTTGGAAGTGATTTGCTCTTGCCTGCTTCACAAAGCTGACACAGGGTGACTAGCACAAGGATCTCTAGCTGACATTATGCGTAACACACAGGACTAGAACTCATAGTCTCCTGGTTTGTAGCCTGGTGTCTTAACCACCATATCCAACCGCCTCAATTTTTAGGGTAGTGTTGCAAAATGAACTTGTTATAAAGTTCTAGAGAAGGTTATTTAAACACACATATACATACACATACAATCTTTCTCAGACACATACTGCAAAGCCCTTAAGTTAATCCTGTCTTGGCCTGATGCCAGTGAGACCCTAAAATGACTTAAGTAAATGATGTTCAGATGTGGATGCTTTGTCAACAAGTTGCTATGTATTCAGTCCATGGGCTATCATAATCCCTGGCAGAAAATCAGGGGAATTGTCTATGGCGAAGTTTCTCAATCTTGGCAGTTTTCAGATGTGCAAACTTCAATTCCTAGAATTCTCTACGTAGAATGGCTGTCTGGGAAATTCTGGGAGTGAAGGTCACTGATGTGAAAGCTGCCAAGGTGGAGAAAAGCTGTCATAGACAATTCACCT